CTAACATATATATATATATATAATGTTATATTAATATACTTATTTAATATATTTAATAATAATATTTATTTAATATATTATTATTTAATATATTTAATAATAATATTTATTTAATATATTTAATATTATTATTTTTAATATTATTACATGTTTTCAGAAATTAAATCACTGAACACAATTTCAATTTTTTTAAAACTGAAAATAATTTCAGAATAAAATTACCAAACGTATTTTTAAAAATGATTCCAAAATAAAAATAAAAACGTTTTCATTTTTATTTTCATACAGAAAATAAAATCATTTTGGAACTAATTCCAAACGCACCCAAAGGATTTGTTTTCTTTTGCCTCTTTGGCTCAATTCAATTACGAGCTCTTTAGTCTTTACAAGGCAAAAATAAGGGAAAGAAGTAAAATTGCAGATGTTTAGAGAAAGTTGGTTAATAGCTGTTTTTATGTAAAATCAGTCATTTGATTGTTAAAATTAATTACATCAATTTGGGAGAGAGTTGAAAAAAAAAAAATGAATTGATAAAAGGGGAAGGACGAGCAAAGTTTAAAGATAAAAATTGAAATAATACTAGAAAGAAACTCCAAGAATTAACTGTACGTCTAAGAGGATTTGAAAGTATTCTATTCTCTAAACTTCGGTGGACTTTTTTTTTTTTTTTTTTTTTGGTTTAAAATTATTTGGTCGCTTGATCTCGTTTTCATAAAGTCAGATTGCCATCGTTTTCCGCGATATCAATGAAAACAACTCAAGAATTAAATTATCAAAATTGGGGCGTGTTCCGAAGATAACTCTTATTAGGTTAAGGAAATAAGGACTTATTCTTTTGAGTAAAAAATTTTAAAAAAGATAACTCGAGTTATAATTTTATTTGAGTTTATGTTCTTTTAAGTTTAAACTCGAGTTTAAGACTAAAATTCGAGTTCAAGTTTCTCCTTCAACTTGAGTTCAGAAACTCGAACTCAAATTAATGAACAGTATTATTTTTATTATTAAAAATGTTATAACTTTTTCGTTTTAATTCTGATTGAGATGATTTTTTTCTATGCGATGACAACGAAAAGACGAATAAAACCTTACCCATATACCCTATTAAAATTTTTCATCAGCATTGAGTTTTTATTAAAATAGTATCTAAATACAAATTTAAGTTTTGACTCACTCAAACACAAACTCAAAAAGATTCTTATCTCAAACTATAACTCAAATGTACACAACCAAACACAAATTCAAGTTACAAGTTCAACTTAAATTCAACTTAAGAATTATACTTAAGTTAAACTCTAAAAGAACAAGCCCTAAATAATTTGCGAATTTCAGAGGAGGACCATGGACATGTTGGTCACCAGAAGCAAATTATTATTATTATTATTTTTTTTTCTTTCTTACTTTGTATTATATTAAATCTGGTTCACTTGGTCTCGTTTTCTGACAGATTGCAATCGTTTTCCGTGACACCATCGAGGGTCACATGAAGTTGACCTAAAATAATCTGTTCCACAGGCTCAAATGGAAATTAATGCCTGATATTACGTGCAACTGTAAATGACACAAACGATAACGTCTGATAATATTTATAATTATTTGTGGTAATGAACATTAACACTTCGATTATTTTCTCTCTCATTTTCTTGCTTAATCAACCGAGGGCCAAGCAGCCATTATTAGTAAATTGACAAGTAGATCCAGAAATTCATGCATTAACACTCATTTCCAAAAATAAGCTCTTGTCAAAGATACAAGTCCAATTTAAACGATACTTGTCGAATCTATGAGGTCCGATCAATAGTTAGTTTTTTATTTTTATTTTTATTATTTATTATTATTTTTTTTTTGGTAATCCTGAAAAATGAATGATCAAAAAGTCATTATTTAGAACAATTAAAACTGTAACTAAAAATATTTATTTTACGTATTTTTCTTAATCTAATATAATTTTAATAAAATGCTGTTAAAAAGAAGACTCTATCAATTGAAAGACAAAGCCTAAGAGGACGTTTGGTTCATAGATTTAAAATCATGATTCAAAATCATTCTCGTTTTATGTGTATTTTTTGTGAGAAAAAAACACTGTAAAAAATCATAAATCATGATTCAAAATCAAGAACGAATACAAAAAATAAACATTTCCTAAGTGTGAGGCCAAACTTAACTGTGAAGCAGTCTTCTTGCAGGAGGCGCAGACAAAGAAACAGTGTGAAAAGCAAAATACAACCATAATGAAGCAGAAGTGGAAAGGAGAAGATTCCAACAACAAAATGGGAATTGGGAAGGAAAGGTGGAGGGTCGAGTCAATGGAGCTGTCAACTTCTAGTTGAAACTAAAGGCGCTTGGAAAGCGGCATGACCCATAATTAAAGTTTGGAATTGGCTTGTCACTCCTCACCTCCTCATCATGCGTGTCAAGAAATTCAAATCCCAATCTCTCAACTACACCACCTTTGTTGTGCTCCTCCAAAACAAATTGAAGCTTTTTTTTTTTTTTTCAAGAATTTCACAATAAAAATTTTAATATTGTTATATCCGTTTTGTACGTTGTTGTATTCTGACATGATTCTAACTAAATTTTATATAGGTAGAAACATGCACTATGATAGAGTGATAGAGTATACGTAGAAGGATCCTAAATTTTTTTTTTTTGTGGAGTATATAATAGCACATTGTTCTTTATACTTTTAACTGTCAAATCACACGAGAATTGTACTAAAACAAAAAAAAAAATTATATATATATATTTTTTGACGAAATTTGAAAACTACATTATCTATCGCTGCCTTTTTCATTTGCTATGCCATGGAATCTTTTTGGACCGCGAAATTTTCAATAACCCTTTTTTTTTTTGGGTTTATTTACTTAATATAAAGTACTATGAAAAGAAAAATTCGAGCTCAGGAGGAGTTCCAAATATACAATCATACGCCACAAGAAAGAAGGATTTAGTTGAAGAAAAGCACTAAAATTAAACAAAACCGAACCTACTTTGCGGTAAGAAGGTTGGTATAATTGCACAATAGTTATCGAGATATTTTGTCCATTAGCATTATAAGAATGACAAAAATGGGAATAACGCAACCAACACCGACAGGCCAGACTATCAGGTTATTTAAGCAAACAGGGCTCCACACCAAAAAAAAGTATAGATGGACGCACCAGTTTTGTTAATAAATTATTGGGGCCATCAGTTCTCAATCAGTTTTCTTGGACCTGTGAAGCTTTCTGACAATATCAGATTTCACTTTGTTTCCCCAAGAGAGAATATCTAGAACCATTGCATCAATTTCTTGTTCTTTCTTCTCATATATGAAGAAAGCTAAGAAGGCAACAGGAACTCCTGAAATAACAAGAACACGCAATCCTCTGTTATTCCAAAGAGAAATTTAAGTGTGACACTAGTCCAATAGATGTGATGAGAGAATTAAGAAGTGAACTTGGTTTTTCTTGTTTTTGAGCATTTAGAAAGGATAGTTGCCAGTTATTATATTATGGAGGGATAACACAAACCTGTAACAAAGACGCTCTGCAGTGAAAAGGCTCCAAGGAAGCTAAGAACCAGCAGGAAGATAACAACCTATCACATTACCAAGAAGGAAGTGTCAGAAATGTCAAGACTATACAGTTAAATCGCAATAATAGTTAACCAGAATCACTAAAACTGGAAAAGCCAAAGTGGAAAGCTTGAAGCACAAAACAAAAGTATAAAAGAGTTGAAGGCAAAGAAATACCTTGACAAAAAGACTTCCGTCATTCCCCTTGGCAAGTGATTTTAACACATTAACAACATTATTCCATGATGAGACTGCTGACATAGCAACTCTTTGTGACGCCTCTTCTGACAACTCAAAATGAGACGGGGAGAGTTTCTCAATACTGTATCCTAATCTGCAGCAGAAAAAATATTCCAAATAAAATGTTTAACTTCAGCGTATGAGATTCGAAAGATAGATAACTGGAACTAAAAACTTCAACTCTGCATAGAAAGCGCTACCCTGCCAGCAGTGTTAAGACTTTCAAATTGGAAAGCAGAAGTTTTTCACACTTAGCAGTATAATGACAAATCCAAAAAGGGAGTTGGACGTACAATTTTCCAGGTAAGTTGCCATGGATAAACAGGAATACCGATATCACCAAAAGAAGCTTTGAAAGTGCAGTGATGATGGTAAATCCAGATGCAATAAGGTTGAAGTAGATGGCAATCAGAAGAATCAAGGTGATGACAGTCTGTTTTCGATCCTTCCAGAGTAACGTGTCAGCAACTGCAAAAGGTAACACCATAAATTGCATTGATCAGTGCAAATAGAAAATAAACTGTTTGACATACACAAGTTTCAGTTTTTGCAGCTCAAAATAATATAAGATGGCACCAAATTTAGCCAAGAAATACATCGAACTGACTTTATGAGCACAGTTATATTTTCCTTCAGAACCTGTGCTTCCCATATTGTAGTTTCCGCTGATTGGTCGTCCTATAATAGCAGAAAATCCAAATAATCTATATCTTTTTGTTGTGGAGTTGGGGGTTGTGTGAGGTCGGGAACTTTACGGGTATCAAATTGAACCACTTCTCTTTTAGAAGTGGTTTGCAAAATTAGCCATCTAGCTAATCTTATGATTTTCTGTAGTGAGACAAATAGTCTGATGATTCATACCTCTACCACTTCCAAGATAGATGGAAGCTTTTGATAGCCCTTCTCTTTTGGGTTGATGTTCAGCTCTCAAGTGTGGATAGGAGTCAACCGTCCTCTTAAGACCTTCCTGCAGGACATTAGACTCACACGGTCACAACTCACAAGTAAACCACTAAAGTAAGAATTTCAACTTAAAATGCTCCATCACTATTTAAATTTCAATTTTGATGTCTTATTTGAATGTTGAAAGACAAAATGAGCCTTAAACCCAAATCCATGTATATCAAACAAACATCGCTACTCATTTCTTGGAAAGAATAAGCAACCTCAAGAGTTACGATAGGAGAGTAGCCAAGACGGTCCTTTGCTTTGGAACAATTAAAAGATCTGCTGCAGGAGAGGAGTCTAATTCTCGAAGGTGTCAACTGCGGGACCTTCATCCCATACGGGCCAAGCAGCTTATATGTCCACTCAACTATATGCGCAATTGGCATCATAACAAAGGCTGGAATTTTTATTTTTGGCCTGCAAACTACATTGATTCAGGGAAGATACAATAAAAGACAACGGACTGATCCCCTTCTCCTCATCATTACATATGATGCTAAAGGACACATAGCACGGTACAGAGATAGGATGAAAAGATATCTTCAAGAAAGCAGCTTAAATTTATTACAGCATCATCTCACCTTTAGTGGTGAAATTAACTGACTGATAACTGCAACTTAACAAATTGAAGAAACTACAACTACACACGATGGGATTGATGAGGAAAAAATGTGTACCTCTCATAGCCTAGACCTTCCAGAATTAGTGACATGAACTCCCAAAACTTGATAGGTTCCATATTTGTAATAAAATATGCCTGCAAAATCAGCCACAATTCACTTAGGGAGTTCCAAAGCTTACTTCAACTTTCAAGCCACAAAAATACTAAAACATGTTTTTGAGCAAATGCTCCACGAATATCTAGTGAACGATCTAAACAAACCATCAGTTTTAAAATATTAATAAAGCCATACATGCAAGAACCAAGAAGAATGTGGTGAAACCTCATACTCATTTGAATATCACTAAAGACGATGGAATAGTAGTAAGCATGTCCACAATATAAAGCAAAGTTCAACACAGTTAGCAGAAATTGCATTCTAAGTCAGAATCCACCTTCTAGAATATAAATATTTGTTTCCCAAACTTTTTCCATTTGAGATAGTTTGATTTAGAAGAGGAAGGAACCTACAGGAAGAAAACCAATTGGGCTCCCTCTCTTTGAGTAAAATTTTGTTTTCATTGAAATGCTAAATAATTATAGAACAAACCAAAAAATGTAAAAATGGTACCTGCCCTGAAGCTTTTTCTGCAACTGACCCCCCTGACGATAGAGCACGTTCAGCACATATGTGGGCATGTGCCACGTTTTCCACATAAGTGAAATCATATACATTATTGCCATCACCAATAATGAACTGATCATTTGAGAAAAGATGTTAGATTTTTAGAAGAATCAATGTCACTGGAATGGCAAACTAAATTTATTTTTCAACCATGGGACAGAGTTCATGACTGGACATATGGAGCCGTTCAAATCAAGATACTATCTTACTTTGAATAATTCAAATTCTGAACCAATAGTCAAAAGTACACTTCAGACATTTTTATCTGTATCCAGTCCATCTAATATCTATCAATATATCCATTTATGCGCGCAGTATGTGTGTGGTTGTAGGAAAAGTAACAAAAACAAAAAAAGACCGGAAAAGGATGTCATATAGACTACGAACGTACTTTGGATTTCCCGGCCCTTGCAGCAGCAACTAAAGATGGAACCAGCAACTTATCACCCGGACCAAAGATGCTGCTGGGACGTATGCAGCATGTTCGAAGCCCATTAATACCATTTGCCTTGATTACCAATGCCTCTCCTTCAGCTTTTGTAACTGAATAATGATCATTGTGCTGGAACATTGCAGGCAAAATATAAAACCAGCTAAATTAGTACCAACTACAGTCTATAACCTAGAGTTCTTCATTTATTTTCAAAGACCGATCAGACAGTTACGTCTCATTAGTTGAAAAAGTTGAAAAATCCAGCATTCTTGAACTCAAACTTAAATGTTCAAGTTAACTGCTCATCCTAGAGTGGCGCCTCGCCAGTCACCACTAAACCACGTATGTGTGGGCTATGAATTCGAGCTTTACTTGAACTAACTGATTTTCAATTTATACTGACATATACATAAGTCCAAAACTGTAATGACTGAAGAATAAATTGACCAAAAAAAAAAAAAATTAATAGTAACAATAAAAGCGGTTCTGGGTGTAAGTACCTTAGGTGGATATGGCAAAGATTCATCCCCATTGAGGATTCCGTGAACCCCATCAAAGACCACGCTAGGAGAGCTAGTGTATATCAAAATTTTCACTTTTTGCTCAATGCAAGCATCAATAACATTCTTCGTTCCTTCAAACAAAATTTAAACGACATCATAAAATATTTAAAAAAAAACATTATAATACTAACGATAACAAATAAACCAGAAAGTTCTCAATATTAGTCCAACATTTCATACCATCAACGTTGACCGAATGATGCAACTGGTAATTGTTGATCGACGAATTCGGTGCCGCCATGTGAAACACGACCTCAGCCCCTTCGCATGCTGTATGTGCCCAAATAATAAACAAAGAAATAAATAATAAATTCTCATTTTCAATTTACAGTGAGACTGAGATTTTAGAATCGTTGAAAAAGAGAACCTTTGAGAACTTGGGCCTTGTTGCGGAGATCGGTGGAGACGTAGTCAGCGCGTCCGGTGCGTAGGGCGTCGCCGAGAATGCCGGTCTCCTCGGCCCGCCCGAGATCGATGGTGGGGCCCAAGTCGGCGACTCGGATGGAGAAATTCGAGGAGCTAATCAGCATCGCCACCAAATGCCGCGCCGCGAAGCCCCGCCCTCCGGTGACCACGCACCACCTCTCTTCTCCGGCCATTCTTCGCTGTGCCAAAAACGTTTTGGAAATCGGAGACGATTTTGGATGGTTGAGTGGTGAGGTAGGCTAGTTTGATGGATCTGAGTGACTGGAGTGTGACTTTTGAGTGAGTGAGAGAGAGAGGGAGAGAGCTAGCTCACAAAGCTGAAGCACATGGGGAGAGAGAGAGAGAGAGAGAGAGATGTCGTACGTAAGTGTTTGTGTGGGCGAAGAAAATCGTTTTTGTAGAGGGGAGAAGAAAAATCAAGATTCGAAACGAAATGTACGTACGTGTCGTAAATTTGAAGTCTTAAGTCGTATTTATTAAAACATGATTTATTTTACCGATTCGATTTGAGTTTTTAATTTTAATTTTACTGTAATTAAAAATTTTTATAAAAAGTTAAATTTAATTTTTTTATTACAGTTAAAAATTCTTATATAAAATCATTTCTCAATTTAAATTGAAAATTAGAATCAACGAACTAAATGAGACCTAAATTCTTATATAAAATCATTTCTCAATTTAAATTGAAAATTAGAATCAACGAACTAAATGAGACCTAAGTGAAGAAAATAACATAATTTAATGCTCCCTTAAAAAAATATATATAATTGAATGCTTAACACTCAAAAAAACATAAGCAATTACATTATTACATAATACCTTGATCTCCCCGCCAACAGCCAACTCCTTTGGTGTGCATTAATTTTTTTTTCTTTAAAAGACATGAATTAGATACGCAGCAAGGATGACCGTGTTTCGAATTGATCCCGTTTTTATTTTTCACGTTTTTTGAAAAAGAAAAAATGAAAACATTTTCAAAAAGGACTTGATCATACAAATTAATTAGTTTAGTGTAAAATGAAAGAGAAATGAAAAATAACTTTTATTCATTTTTCATTTTTTATTTTTATTTTTTGCTCTCTCGAACGGAGAGAGAAAGAGAGACATTATTGGATTTTTTTACACTGAAAATAATCTCTTGATAAAACTACTAAACACATTTTTAAAAATGATTTATATTTGAGATTGAAAATGTTTTCGTTTTCATTTTTATACAAAAAAATAAAATCATTTTGGAATGAGTTCCAAACGCGCATTTTCGTTTAAACGACAATAAACAGTAAACGACCAGGATCAATGACAATAAAGTGTGAAAACGACAGGAAGAAATTGACAATACCTGAGAAACGACAGCATTATAGTAAACGACAACATTTACAAACGACAAAAGGATATAAAAACGTAAAGCAGGGGAAAAAAATAATAACAGACGACAATGAAGGAAAAAGGCAAAGATGGTGATTAGTGAGGATTGAGAGACGAGGATAAGTAGAAAACAAAAAATAAGAAAAAATTTAGCAATAAATTTAATTTTCAACTTTACATTTTTAGAAATTAAAAACAGTTATTTTTAGATTGCTAATACAGTAAATTAAGTTGGAAAGTTGTAAAGAAAATGATTTATCAATTCAAATTTATCACTTTGTATTTTTTAAAACGCCAAGAATATTTAATATTATCAATTACAATTAGTATCTCAAATTAAGAAGAAAATGGTAAAGAAAAAAAAAAAGAAAAAGAAAAAGACCGTGGCGCCTAATCTCGACTGTGTTTTATTTTCCCTCCCATTTTCTCTGCGCCAAACAGAATTCAAAGAAGCTCATCCTCATCCTCATCCTCATCTCCATCTCTTTAATGGCAGTCTCAATCAAACCCTAGACAGACAAACATCCTCTTCAACTCTACCCACTTCCCCGAACCTCAATAACCAGAGCGCTCTCCGACGCGATCAACAGTACTTCGCCGTCGTCATGTCTTCTTCTTACTTCGACGACGACGACGATTTCCAGATCCCTCTCTCCCGATCCACCGCGACTCCTCAAAATTCCATTCTCTCGCAGAGATCACTCAAAAGCTCATCTTTTTCTCACCGGCCGTCGAAAATCCCAAAGTGCTCGACCACCTTCGGCTCCGGCAAGGAGAATGTGCCTTCGTTTTGTTTGGGAAATCAGGAGAACGAGGGTTTTAAGTCTTTGGAAGTTGTGGATTGCAGCTTGGAATCAATACCTTCTAGCTTCGATTGCACGAACGCTACTGCACCGGAGGAAGCTGTTGATAATGTGGGTAAGGACGATTGTTGTTCTTCGCCTCCGGAGAAAAAGGAGTTGTTGAATAAAAATTGGGGCTATTCTCGCAATTCGATAGAGTCTAGGTTGATGAAATCGTGGGGAGACCGTGGTTTTGGCTCTGGTGATGGTGGCTCCGCCGTTGAGGATGACGAGGACGAGGGAGAGCTCGATGAGTTGCTCAAGCTGTGCTCTGCATTAGAAGAGGAAGATAGTTTGGGTGATAATGGAGGTTCGGTTGAGTGTCCTCTTTGTGGGGTTGACATTTCGGATGTCAGTGAGGAACAAAGGCATCGCCACACCAATGATTGTCTTGACAAAGGGGACTCTCCAGCGCAAGATGTAAGTTTGCAATTAGTTTCAATTTTAGGGAGAATTGGTAAACTTACATAGTACAGTATTAGAGTTTGTGATTTGTCGCATATGTTTTAAAAGTCTAAACTTTTAGGAGGATTAATAAACTAAAAAGACTATTCGGGTTATTCGGGTATGTTAAGCAGGTTATTGTTCCTCGTGAGGAAGGCGAATACCGAGTATCCAGGCCATGCGGTGAAGTTTCTGGTGTTGTAGAGTGGCTGCGCGGCCTGGGTTTAACGAAATACGAAGATATTTTTGTTAGAGAAGAGATTGTCTGGGATACTCTCCAATGGTTGACAGAAGAGGTATCACCAATCTAAATGAACTCTATGATCCTATATTTATTGGGTTTATTCCATCTAGTTTGTTTGTTACTGGCCTAAGACCTCTTGGTCTAGTGGCACTAAGGGGTTTGGGAAGGGGGTTGCGGATTCAATCCCTGTGTTGCATAAAAAAAAAAAAAGTTTGTTTGTTACTGAAGTGTAACTTTTTGCCTAATAAGTTTTTTGTCATTTTAATTTTGTTTGACTTCAAGGATCTCTTTAACATTGGCATCACTGCACTTGGTCCCAGAAAGAAGATTGTGCATGCTCTTTCTCAACTTAGAAAAGGGAGCATACAAGCAATTGAGGTGCCTCCACCTTCTAACGCCTCTAGTGAACACAGAAGGGGCACCAATGGAGTTGAGATGCCCAGTGATGTCTCAGAGCGAGTGACTGAAAATGCGAGTAAAGTAGCTGCTAACAAGTTGATAACAGATTACTTTCCAGGATATTTTAGTGATAGAAAGAAAGTTTGCGACACCGGTAGACAACAGAGGGCAATAGTACAGGGATCGTCAAGTTCTGGCCGTAAACGTGTTACAGGCAAAAAACACATCACAAAAGGAAAGCTCAAGGATCCTCCATCGTGGTGTTCCATACCAGGAACACCATTTCGAGTGGTAAATGACTTTTCAGATGATTGTGGTTTGTGGGTACTATATTTCTGCTTACATTACTTTCCTAAAAGTGGAATTTGAAAGGGTTTACTCTTTTTGTTGGTTTCACTATTTTATCATTTTCCTAACAGTTTAAGGTTTTAGAATAAGATATTATATAACATGTGCAGGATGCTTTTCGATATCTTAGAGGAGATTGTTCACATTGGTTTCTCACTCACTTCCATATGGATCGTAAGTTTCTTCTTTCCATTTCTCCATTAGCTTAATGGTTAAAACTTATGCCTAGCTTGTTTATCTGAATGATAACGACATTGAATTAATGGCAATTACAATCTGAAGCAAATAGTTTAGACTTTTGACGTCAAGCTTTTCCTGTTAATAATCATTGGTTTTTGGTTCAATATGATTCATTGATTGCTGCAGATTATCAAGGTCTAACAAGGTCCTTTTGTCATGGACTGATTTATTGCTCATCCATTACTGCTAAGCTTGTAAATATGAAGATTGGGATCCCATGGGACAGATTGCATGTTTTACCCCTCAACCAAAAGATCAATATTGGCGGCATTGATGTGACCTGTTTAGATGCAAACCACTGCCCTGGGGCCATAATTATACTTTTTGAACCACCTAACGGTAAGGTGTGCTTCAAACTGACTTCCAGCTTATAACGAGATTGTGTTTTCTGTGTCTAGCTTTTGGTTAATGATTCCGGTTGTGCATTCAGGCCAGGCCGTTCTGCACACAGGAGATTTTCGCTTTAGTGAGGACAAAGACATGATGCCTTTTTTGCGAGCACGGTTTATCCATACACTTGTACTTGACACAACTTACTGTAATCCCCAGGCAAGTCTGAACGTCAATTATGGAGTGGCTGAACTGGTGGCTTATTAAAAACTTTCATTTTCATGTATGATATAGTTGAGTGTCACCAAGCTAGGAAGAAAATGCTAGTATTGTGGATGGAATTAGAGAGGGGGAAAAAAAAAAAAACCGGAGTTGTAAAAGCTGGTAAGTAGCAATGGTAATTAGCTGCACAGTATTAGATAACTAGAGGAAATAAAGAGAGCAACTCATAATCGTTAAAATTTATGCTGGTACACCATTCGGAGTCTCGAACAAATTGGCAGTCGAATTTAAAACTGTTAATTCTTTCTTATAATGAACATTGTCTCACCTTTATTTTGCGTACTTTGGCTCATATTTCATTGCAGTATGACTTCCCAAAGCAGGAGGCCGTAATACAATTTGTTCTTGATGCCATTCAGGCCGAAACTTTCAACCCTAAAACTCTTTTTCTGATTGGTAGCTACACAATTGGTAAATCTCTGTCTCTGTCTCTGTCTCTGTCTCTCTCTCTAACCCAGGATCTTCCTGGTTACCAAATATGCGCAAGAAAACACTTTTTTTTTCTCCCCTTCCTTTCTTAATTTGTAAATTATAGTCTTTCGTAATAGGAAATTCCTTATTTGTATATTGTTTCAAACTTACAGGAAAGGAGCGACTCTTCTTGGAGGTAGCTCGTGTTCTACGAAAAAAGGTTTATGTCAATGCTGCAAAGCTGCGCATTTTAAATTGTTTGGGGTTTCCTCAGGAGGATATGCAGTGGTTTACGGTAAATGAACAGGAAAGCCAGATACACGTTGTTCCTATGTGGACACTTGCAAGCTTCAAACGACTTAAGCATGTAGCCAATCAGTATAAGGTGCGGGTTTTCCGTTCTCCCCCTTAATAACGTGTGTGGAAACTATTTCTATAGCCTCCCTCTCTTGCTCTCTTTTTTGAAAAAAATGTATATCTTAACTACAAGACTTGCTAGAAATTGAATGCTGTTTTTGTTTGTGAAATAGATAACTAGTCATGTTAACGTTGTGCTTGTATTAATCAGGATCGATTCAGTCTGATAGTTGCTTTCTCTCCCACTGGTTGGACATTTAGTAAAGGAAAGAAAAAATCTCCAGGGAAAAAGTGGCAGCAGGGCACAATCATAAGGTACCATTGTCTTCCTCTCTGTAACTCCATAGACCGAACCACAGAAAACTAAGAGCACGATACATTTCCATTTCCTAGATTCTTGCCAATCTCATGAAATATCCAAGTGACAAGGGCCAGACTCTTGTCTCTGCACTTTTTTTTTTTGCTCCATCACATTGGATGTTTACAATGAAACACACATTTTGAATACCCAATTGAGAACTGATTGGTACAATGAACCTTAAGGTCTAAGCAGAGATCATGTTCCCTTGTTACTCCAGGTATGAAGTGCCGTACAGTGAACACAGCAGCTTTACAGAACTCAAAGAGTTTGTGAAGATCATATCTCCAGTAAACATAATACCTAGTGTGAATAATGATGGGCCTGATTCTGCCAATGCCATGGTTTCTCTCTTACTTTCTCAATTATGAGCTCGACAAGCTTCCTTAAAATTAAGTTTATAAGAATAATTTTATTTGTAATAAAAATTACGCGACTTAATTAACCTCTTAACGAACTGAATGTACATTAAAAATTTACATATATAAATTTGACGTTGCTTCGGTTAGCACATTTTTGTTAGGAAATCTTTTGGTCTTGTGTTTTGTTTGTAAATTAATTCCTTGAAGCCTTGTGGCACCACTGCTGATAGTTTTACTTCTAGTGGAAATAAACCATTTCCTTTTTTCCCCAGTAAAAAAGAAAAAAAAAAGGGTTAGAATCCATTTCTTTCAAGTCCTAATGTATATTGGGTTTACTCGTTGAAACTAGAAAAGATGAATGAATGTCTACTCCCCACAAAGTAGGAGGAACTTTGCGCATGACTGGGGCAGAAAAGAAATATATTTCTTCTGAGTTAAAAAATGTCATTTTCTAGTTGTTGATATTTTTGTTTGGAGAACAAATGTTTTTTTTTTCTTGCAGAATTGTGTGTAAAATCATAAACCAATAAAATCTTATTAGCAAAACAAAATCAATTGTAAAATTAAGAGGAACCATTCTATAACTAAGATATATTGGTATCTTGGTATGCAGTGCAAACCTCTTCAATCTCCATTTCAGCATCATCCGTTTGTAAACCATCCTCTAAATCACTCTCAGCTTCCTCTTTCTCAGATTGCAAACTAATGCTCTCATTTTCAGATTCCCTCTCAAGCCCACCCTGATCTTCTTCCATATCCGACATCTCACTAAAACACTCAATCTTCTTCTTCTTTCCTCTATAACCAATAAACCTCTGCACTTTCTCCTTCCACCGAACCAAAGGACCTTTCTCAATCAGCTCCTGACCTTCATAAGCTTCCGTCAAGAAGACACTAAACCTCTTCCCTCTCTCCGAAACATAGAAAATCCCGCAATGCTTCAGAAGAAGCCTCATCAGCTTCTGAGGCATCACGAGCTCCCTCCGAAAATGCGTGAGATGATCGGTAGTCGGCAATCTCCTCTCGATAGTAAAGCTAAGCAGCTCGTGCATAACGGCAACAGCCCTCTTGTCGAACTCGAGTGAACCAGCCTCAAGTCCTCTGGCATCCGCATAAGGAGACAAGTAAGTCCTCTTCTGGAAATGCTCTATTTTCCCTCCATGTCTGTACAACTTCTTGTAGTTTGGTGGGAACTTCAAAGGAAAAGGAAGTGAAAGCAACCCCGGAGTGTGATCACTTCTTTCGGTTATTCCCATCGCCTTCTTCGCCAACTCCGTTACAGCCCATGAAGGATTCCAATCAACAAGCTCCAAGTACTGAAGACCATCAACCTTTTTCACTAGCTTAAAATGTTGTGGATACTTGTGAACCCAATCAGTTCGGAAATCAACAGGCAACCCAAAATCTCTCCGAAAATGAGCAATCTTATCCACAGGAAGCCTTTTATCAACAGACATCATTAGAAAGCGAGTGACATGCTCTGCAGCCTTGTCTTCATGCTCCTTTATAAGCATTTCCTCTTCTTCCACTAGCTTCTCTCCTTCATTCGTCATTCCACACCACAACACCCCCCTGCGGTCCTTGTACAGCTCGAAAAGTTTCGGCGATTTTCGAACGAAATCGGAGATCTTGTGGGGCTTTGGGAGATTGATTTGCCTCCGGTATTGCTCAAGTGACCTGACGGGGATAATCATTTCGGGCTCTTTCTTTAGAATCTCCATCAAGAGAAGAACTTTGGAGGCTATCTTCCACTTCTCGGTCACCACTTCGAGATCGTGAACTCTTTTGTTCTTGCTTCGGTCTTGTACTCTTTTACTGGTCGTCATGAACCGGTTCTGGTTAACCCCATTTCTCTTCATGAATATGTAAGAAAACCCATCACGAGTAAGTTGGAAATATTTCGTGGTTCTCATATTTTGACGCCTTTTAAATCCGAAAATTCATGAAGTTTTAACAATCGGGATAGCCATAAATGCCCGAGTCAATCTAAAACACGCCTGCAAAGTGTTTGAGAAAACGCCTGCAAAGTGTTTGAGAAAATGCCCGAGTGAGAAGAAATGGTTTACCCCGATAGAACAAGTTGAGATGGGATTTGGGAAGGAATATTTATTTAAGAGTGATCGAGTAATGAGATGCTTGTGATGGGACGCATAAATTATAAACAAGTTGGACGTTGTAGAAGGAGATGGGTGTTTTTTTTTTTTTTTTACCAAAGGCGATGGTTGAATCATGAATGTTGATAGCTTTCATCATTTTTTTTTTTTTGTGCAAGCCGAAATTGGGCCTTGAGTCTTAGGCCTGGGTTGGGCCAGGCATGAGGACTCCCCACTAGTGTAGAGTAGGGGGTGGGGTAAAACTCGAGAATTACTCTTATCTTGAATTTTTAACTCTCATTCTAAATTAATATTTTTTTGTTAATATGATTATTTAACTAAAAAAATAATTAATTAAGAATAAGAAATAAAAATCTTGATTCATACACTTTTAAAAAATATTTGTCTTAGTTTCTTGTAGGTGGGTCATGGGTTTCATGAAATACAATAATGTCATTCAAAACAGTATTTTGGGTATTTTATACTTTTGCCTTAGGAATTTATATGGTTTTAGCAATTTGTGCTTTATACTTTTAATTTTAGTAAGTTACTTCCTTAATTTATAAAATTTATTACAATATGCCCTATTTTGATTATTGTGTTAAATTAGTGTTGAAAAAACACGTTTCATGAAAAATCTCAATATCCCAATTCAATTCAAATGTAATATAAATATTTCAATTTCTTAATTTTTAATCCCATAAATCTAATAAAAAAATTTGAGCAAATTTAGTAAAATAAGGCATGTTGCAACAATTTTATAAGTTCAGAGGGTTGATTGTCAAAATTAAAAATTTAGGAGGGTAATTTGCGAAACCATAAAAAATAAAACACATTTTATTAAGTTTAAAAAATAAACTTAAATAGCACAAATTTATATTTTAAATGAAATAAATGTAAAGATAATAATAAAAGATGGCACTTATATAATTTTCTCTTTTAAAGTCTAGATTTTTTTTTAAAGTTTAGTTATTCATCTTGTATAATTTTCAAGTACACATTAAGTTTAATTTTTTATTTTCCAAAAGTGTAATATTTGTATGGTAATTCTCTGAATAGTGAATAGTGTTTATCTAATTCACCCTTCCCTGCTACGATCCCCTGATGTTGGCTATTGTAGACTTATAAATTAGGGTGGGTGTGCCCGAATTGCCCGACCTGAAGCCTGAATTTTTGAATTTTTTTTGAATTTTGCCCGAATTTTTCCCGCCTGCCCGAATTGCCCGACCCGCCCGAGGTGCCAGAATACCCGAAAACGGCTAGTTTTTTTAATTTTGCCCGAAAACTCGAGTTGCCCGAAAACGGCTATTTTTTGAATTTTTACCTGAATTCTGACCGAAAACCCGAGTTTGTGTGTTCATTTCAAATTGTAATATATATATAAATATAATATATATATAAATTGTAATACTAATATATATATATAAATAACTTAATATTAAAAAAAAAGTTTAAAAAATTCAGACAATTCGGGCGGGCTCGGGCCGCCGAATACAAGCCCGCGGCCCGTTCAAGGTGAAATTCAGGCTCCGGC